ATTTAGGACAGATAAAGTAAGTGACAGCCCTAGTCTACTCAAACAAAAAACAGAAATGAACAAATCGAACAATTTAGCTTTGTAAACCAAGCTAGTATGTGTCCATTTAGCGACTTCCTTCCCGCTAGTCTCGCTGATGACTTTAACGGTGTTATAGTTTGTGAGCGTTTTTGAGGGAAAACCAACGCAACTCCGTGGTTGCGAAGGGCCCTCTAGAGGCAATACCTGTTTATAGTGGTCCATCTTCTGGAAAATGTGGTCCCCGACACCAAGTAACATCCGAAGAGAAGAGCACTGGTGATAAAAACAAATAAACACCGGGATACGTTTGGTCCATTCGCTCCTATGGTTGTGTTTGTCCTCTTCTAAACGTCCAGCTTCTTCTTGTATCCCTCCCGCGCTCCGTTTCGTGAGTGATCCTTGTCGTTCTTTCCCAATTTGGTCCACATCGTGTTTCTGATCTTATCAACCCACGTTGTGGATGGCTGAATGACGGTGACTTGGAAGCCTCGATCCGCCATGTCTTTAGATGCTTCAGCTGCAGAATTGTAGACCCGCGTGTTGTTTTCGTAGAAGACTCTCAGCTTGGCCGGGAATGGGGTTTGGAATCTGATCTTCTTTTCTCTGAGGACCCGTTTCACCTCAAGGTATTCACGTCGCCGTTTTAACACATCTGGAGCATAGTCGTGGTCCACTATGACTTTTTTCCCTGCCACCATGAAGCCTTTCTTTTGCCAGGCTCTTTTCAATATTTCGTCTTTGACTTTGGATGTGGCGAACTTGACTATTATTGAGAGGGGGGGCCTCCGGCGGAGCCCGAGGACCCAGGGAGCGGTGAGCTCTCTCAATGCTCAGGTCGAGTGATGTCGGGATGTCCAGTTTCTCTCTGAGTAGATTCTCTATGAAGGCTGGGATAGATGGCGAGCTATCCTCTGAGCCCTCTACAATGCCGTGGAGCCTCAAGTTTTCCCGTCTCGATCTCCCCTCGAGCTCCACCAGCTTCGCCTCAAACTCGTCTTGCACTTTACTTAGCTTCATAGCCACTTCTTCAAGCTCCTGAATCCTGTTCTCCGCTTCCAATATGCGCGTTTCTGCCTCGTCCAGTCTTCTGTTTATATTCTTTACCTCCTCTTTAACCTCTCGGAAGCCCTCACCATTTTCTTGACGCAGTTTTCTTAACTCAACGAGAATAGTTTGTAGATTAACTGTCTCGTTAGCCAAGTCGTTAGCCGCTAGTGAAGCGTCCGAGCCTGAGTAGCTAGCCGTGTCGTCTTCGATCGTGTCCTCTTCTCTCGACATTGACTGCCGAGACAGCAAAGTGCTCTTAGATTTAGATTTGGGCATTCCGACGCACTATCAAGTTTGTTTTATATCCCGCTCTTGCCTCAAACCTATGTTTTTTTTGAATGTGTCGGGGGGGCCACCTGATTAAGCTGTCGCCATTTTGCTTGCTCACCCGGAAGTCGGTATTATTCTTTTTTATGAAAAAGATCTCAGCAAGTAAAGTACAATTGAGTTCTCTGTGATTCTAAGTGAAGTAGCAAATGAATGTGTCAGTTCAAATACCAATAACATTTTCAGATGATGCTGTTATTCTCCTAACAGACGATCCACACAGCTGCTGGAGACCAGTTTGTTTTATGGCACGACTCATTAGCCTAAATCAATCAGTGACTGGAGTCCCATAGCCATCATGGCTGCTCCATCAAACATCTTTTAAATATTTATGTTTGTAGATAGGCGGCGATCTGAGCTGGTGCACATGTGACACGTATGTGCAAAGGTTCATCAGCGTCTCTATTTTCTTAGACGACTTTGATTGCGTGACGCTTCCAAAATGATGATGTTGATCTTTAGTGGGGAAACCGTCGAGTCTGTTCCGGCATCACTGGATGGTTTGGAAATATTACTGCTAAATTAAACACTAATTTTAATTTAACATGTTCTGATGGGTCTGGAGGAAGGTTCAGGTTCCTCTGAGCAAATATGAAACATCCATCTGTTCTTCATGCTGCATCACCAGCATAGAGAGGAAGCATGTTCTGCAATCTGACACTTTCTGAATTCATTCATGGTTACTGTCCTTATGGATGAGTTTTTATTGATGTCCTGCACTTTTGCCCGTTTCCAAAACAAATTTCTCCATGAGAGACGAACAAAATGATCTTATCAGAACCTGAGCAGAACCAGACCGGGTGCTGTCAGGACATTCTCCGCCCCGGCGGTTCGGTTCTTGTGTCGCAGCTGAAACGTCGGTTCTTTTTTATGAGATATTATTCTTGCAGCGAGTTCTTCCTGCAGGTGAACCAGGTGACCCAAACCTGAGGGATATTTGCCGACTCATCATTCCCGCCTCTCGTCTCCTCGTAAAGTGAGGCAGCTTTGGGTTTTAGTTTTCCTGACAGAGTGAGACCTCTTTGCTACAAATAGCATGAGGTGTCTGCAGCATTCTGACCTGCAGCTGATTAAATGGATGGAAAGCACCTGTTTGCTGCAGGTAATGGCTGTTGCTGCAGCAGAGGATGATGATGGAGCTGCTTCATCAGCTGCAGATCTGGTTGTTGTGAAATGATGAGTTCAGCTGGAAGCCTCAGAAATCCTGGGCTGGGCGTCACAGAGGATTGTCTCCTCTCTCACATGGAGCCACACAAATCCTTCAAGACTAGACTGGCGCTACTTGGACTAGACCGCTTAATGCCAGGCTAGCTGCAGGTCTGGCAGGATGGAGCAAACTGATTCATGGTAGATGTTTCATCACACAAACGCAGAAATCAGAGCAGACGCATTTTGAGAAACTGTGACTCCACAGAAAAGAAGAACTGATTTTACTTTCTGACCTTGTTCTGAAAACAGAAACCAGCCGAAGCATCGATGGTGAAAACCTGAAAACCTTTCAGAGGCAGAACGAGGAAAAACCGACAGACGAGTCGATATCCAGGCAGCGCAGCCAGAGAGCAGCTTCACAAAGATGGCTGACGCTATATGGCTACCGAGACGTTGATCACATTTACCGCCTGCTGCAGCAGCAGCTGCTGTGGCTGCGGCTGCTGCGGCGCATTAGCATGTAGACGCTCTGATGTGGAAACTGAGCTGCAGGTTGGGAACCAGGAGACGATTAGGAGGGAGAGGACAGAAGACCAAGTGATTGTTCCAGTTGAACTCTGACCCCTAGCCAGCAAAGCTTTTATTTTGAAGAAATTCAAAAGCCCCCTGCTGGCCCCGCCCCTCCTCAAGCCCGCCCCTGCTGGCTCCGCCCCTCCTCAGCCTGTCCCCTGCTGGCTCCGCCCCTCCTCAGCCTGTCCCCTGCTGGCTCCGCCCCTCCTCAGCCCGCCCCCTGCTGGCTCCAACCCTTACCCCCAACCTGTCAGGATGACCTCTGGCCGGCTGCTGCGCTGCGACTGCAGCAGTAATTACAGAGTGTGAATTGCTGCTCCTCCTCCCTGCTGCTGCAGCCAGAGGCTTCGCCCTGCGCTGCTCCGGCTGCTCAACTTTAACCCTCCATTAATTCAGCACCACCACAAAGCCAAAGAGACATTTAATTCCACCAATCAGGGAGGAGTTAGCATGTTATGGTGGAAATATGACTGGATCACAAAGGAAACATGAATTAATGCACAGCAGGAAGGATTTTCCTCCAGTTGGATGCCATGTTTCAACTCTTAAAGCTTTTCTGCATCAAACTCTGAGTCTTTTTACTGTTTCTCCATTTGTCTCTTTGTCCTGTTTTCTTTCCAGCTTCATATCTGTAAACATGCAGCTTCATCTTCCAGGAAGCTCTTCCTCACTTCCTGGTTAGCCAAAAAAGCCTTGAAAGTAGAAACTTCCAAAAACAAGCAAAAAGCTCCAGAGAGGAAAACGGACCTTTTCTCACCTACCAACTGGTACCATCCAGCCATTTTCTTTCACATGTAGCTCACTGGAGAGGAGGCAACAAATACGGTATTTTTCATGGATTTTTATGATCATTTTAGCCTAGGCCTTACTGAGTATTGCTTATTAGCATATAGCTTTTAATCCCTTCTTGGCATTTGGTTCAAGCTTTTACCAATGCTACCCTTCTGATTTGAAAATATCGATGGATTGTTTGTCAGGTTAAGCCTATGCAGGTGTTTGTCAGCTTGGAATACCATTGAAATTGTCTTTTTATTATTATTATTTTAATAATAAGTGCTTCTGATTTTTAAAGAATAATAGAAACGTACACTTTATTGTGAATTACTTTAACAGCTGGTATACAGATGGAAACGAGTATTTTATTACCTTTAACAGCTAACACACACAGCTGTTAGCTGTGTGTGTTAGCGCCATGTTAGCTCCTCCTGGATCTTAGTGGATTCAGGTTCTGCTAAAGCTGCCGCTGCGTCTCTGCTGATGATTTCATTAGGTTTTCCTGAGGCTCCATAGCAGGCTGCATAATCTCAGGATGAGAGGCTCTAATGACATGTCAGCCTGTCGCTCACACAGCATCAGCTGCTGATGAAGCAGCTACTGCCAGATGAATCCTGAAGGAATTATCCATCTTTAGTGTTAAACACGGAGAAACACTGGATGGATTTTTACTTTCTCACCATTTTTATACTCAATTCATCTTTGCAGTTTTATAGTCAGTGTTACAGACCACAGTATAACTCAGCAGAGCCCACAGTGGGTCCGTTGGGTCGGCATCCGGCATGTTTTAGTCTCTCCCTGGTTTAACCCACCTGGATCCAACGACGGCTCGTTAGAGGCCGAAGGAGAACCTGCAGGACGCCGGCCCACTTAAAGTTATACCACACTGATAATCTTAGAATAACCTTATCAACTAAACTATACGTTTGCTAATAAAGTATAAATTTATAAGGTCAGAGGTCAGACACCTGCAGCTCAATGTCAAAAACACCCCTGAACCCCTGCAGCTCCGCCCCCTCAACTTGTGGGCCCAGGCCCCGCCCCCTCAGCCAGTGGCCCCGCCCCCTCAGCCAGCGGCTCCGCCTCCTCAGCAATGATGCAGCAGCACTTACTTCATGGGCTTGAAGAGCGCCTGGCCGTAGTTGTGGAAGGTCATGATGAGCTTCAGCTGCGTTCCTCCAGACTTCATGGCTGTTAAGATGAAAAGCAAAACAAATCATCGTCTTTATGACAAACAAACAATTTTATCAGTTTAGACTAAAACAAGGAACCAAAACTAAAAGAGTTCTGGTTTCTCCAGCACAACTAGAACCAGGAAGATCTGAAGGCTGAAAACAAACTGGTTCTGATCCGGTTCTGATTTCAAACCCGTTCAATCAAATTCAGCCGGGAGGAGATTCCAGTGCATATTATTCCCGGTCTGGTTTACTACTGGCTGAACCGGTGTGTGTGTGTGTGTGTGTGTGTGTGTGTGTGTGTGTGTGTGTGTGTGTCATGGAGGCGGCTTCCTGAACAGATAATCCTGCTGCAGATCAACCTTTAATCTGCGCTGCAGGCCTTTCAGCTGTTGGCAGATAAACTGGAATCAGAACCAGTTTCTGCAGACAGCGAGTCGCTGAGTTCAGCAGGAACAGAGAGAGAGAACGCTGCTCTGCTCTCGCCTGCCACATCAGAACAGCAAATGTTGGATCCAGATTGGACTGGTGGCGCAATCAGAACTAGAACCAGTAGTTCCTCTCTGGTTCTGGTTCTGATGGAGGTCTGCAGGTGTGGAGCAGAGGACTCTGATCACTTCATTCCTGTCTCCCTGGACACAGTGTGTGTGTGTGTGTGTGTGTGTGTGGTGTGTGTGTGTGTGTGTGTGTGTGTGTGTGTGTGTGTGTGTGCATTGAGCTGTCGCCATCTGGGTCTGCCCGCTGCAGCTCTGTGGTGTTTCCAGTTGGAGCTGCTGACCTGCCTTCATGTGTTAAAGCAGAGAGACAACTGGACCTGCAACTGGACCTGCAACTGGACCTGCAACTGGACCTGCAACTGGACCTGCAACTGGACCTGCAGGCCCAGTCCTGGGAATGTTGTGGACATCGGCTGCACTGATATGTTTCCCAATTAGGATTATTAGGAAAATATCAGAATTTCACTTTATTAGCAGATTTAACACTGAAAGGATAAACAGGAAGTGAAAGGTGTTCAGCGGCAGGTGGGGGAGGGGCAGTGTTCTGAGGACTGCTCCTACTGAGCCCGGTTGTGGTTCTGGTGCTGGTTCTGTTGGAACCAGACTCGTTCAGAGTGAGTAGTTCCTTTCCACTGTGACCACATGCTTGATGGGGAAGAGGGTCTGGTGCAGCGTTAGCTGGGATTATAATCTGAATTAGACATCATATTTTCTGCCACTACATTATCAAGGGATTTATTGATCTGAACTGGATTTTGGTTCCCACTAGAAACAGACAGTTTGCATGACTCAAAGGTCAAAGGTTGCGTGGACTCACCCACGCTGGTGATCCTCTGGGTCAGCAGGTCCCTGAGCAGCGCCTCCACCACCGGGCTGTGCCGGCCGTAAAGCTCGTAGCGGTTGATGCCGATGTGGAAGCGCAGCCAGTTGGGGTACGACTCGACCGGCGGCTCGGCCGTCGGGCTCGGCTCGTCGTCGGCGCCCTCGCCGGTCCTGGACGGCGGCAGGAAGAGGAAGGAGGAGATTACTAACACTGAACAAGTAAAAGAACTGGACAGAAAATATGAAACTTCTGGTTCTGATGCATGGTTCGTATAGCAGAACTAACCAGCGATATTCCAGAAAAATATCAAGATTTAAGTGATTTCCTCCTGAAAAACAACTGGGTCGCCGTGAAAACGCACTAAAACTGAAAATCTGAATCTCTACATTTAGAGAAAGCCAAGAGGTGAGAGGTCAGCTCCTCTGATGACAGTAAACAGGACTTGATCAACAAGAAATATCAAAACATACAGAAGGGCTTCTAGCATTAGCATTAGCACAAAGGTCCAGCAAACTCCTCCCTCTACAAAGATCCTTGATAGAAGGTAGATGCACACTCAGCACGGCGATTTGTAGATCTTCAGAATCAGAACTTTCCCTGATTTGAGCGAAGATGTTTCAGTTAGCCGAGCGCTAAACCAGCATTCATAACTTCTGCAATATGATTTAATACTGCTGAAGTTTAAGTTCATTCCTTTTGATAGTTTCTTTATTTTCATAAAGAAAATGCACATAAATTTATGTGCAGCGTTTAAATAACAACTAAATGGCCGATGATTAATAAATTGTCTTCAGTTTTTTAACATAAAACTTAAAAAATAAAAATGGAAAACAGAAAAATGAAAATATCTGAACGACCATATTTTCCGCACCGGGCTGCAGGCCTGTCGGTTTAATCATAAATAATAATGAATGTATGTAATAATAAACCTGCGTCTCCAACGAGCCATGGATCACTTCTGGCCCAGTTTACGTGCAGCGGCTCTATTTCCCTCCTGACCTCCAGGTCGACAGCCTCCAACTTAAAAGCTGCATTACATGAACGTCTCCGTGTTTCCCTGAACAGGAAACAGGCTGAGTTTGGATACTAGCATTGGCTTGTTCTAAATAACAATCATTTCTTCTTTGATTTCCAATTTTGACTCCCAATGATTCACTTCCTGCGAAAGAGCCCCCCCTGGTGGTTGAAGAAAAATCCACAGAAAAGCGCGGGAAAACAGTAGCGGCTTATAGTCCGAAAAATATTATTGGGTTTATTCTGCAGGAAGGGATGAAATAAAAAAACAATAATAATGTGTGTAAAAGTATAAATTTTCTCCCAGATTAACTGACTGCAGGTCGAACCTCCCAGAATGCATCTGTGGAGCCCCGCCCCCTAGTGGAGCCCCGCCCCATGTGGAGCCCCGCCCCTTTATGGAGCCCCGCCCCTTTATGGAGCCCCGCCCCCTGTGGAGCCCCGCCCCTTTATGGAGCCCCGCCCCCTGGTCCCCGCTCACCATGCCTGGTCTTCCGCTGTTTTGGGGTCGAACCGGATGTCCGTGTTCACGTTGAACAGCGTGTCTTCCTCCGTCAGCGGCGGGACAGATCGTCTATAGAGGGGATGCTCGAACAGGAGCGCCAGCCTCGAACCCCGGGCCGGACCGAACCGGGCCGCCGCCGGCCCCTGGAGGAAGAGGCTGCTCCTGTCGCCCCGCGGGCCCCGCGGCTCCGGGGTCGGCGCCCCGTCCACAGGGAGCCGGTCCAGGGCTCTGGAGGACGCGTTGGATCCGGGCTCGCTGCTGAAGTCCTGCAGGATCCGCAGCGTGTGTTTGTCGGGCCAGCCCGGTTCGGCCCAGCCGCGCTCCGGTGTCCGGGCCGGGCCGTGCGAGCAGGAGCAGCCGGCGCCCTGGCGCTCCAGCTTGGGCAGCAGGTCCACCATGATGTGCATGGAGCAGGCCACCAGGAAGACGGTGAGGATGAGGACTCGGAACCGGCGCAGCAGAATCATCTTCAGGTGGGTCGGGTCGCTGAGGATGAGGAGGACGCAGAGGAAGAGGCTGACCACATCGCTGCAGATGCTGATCAGAGCGGCCGCCAGCCGCAGCAGGAGCGCGGACGGCGGGTCGGAACCATCTCCACTGGCCGTCTTCAGGACCGGCTCAGCCTTCACAGCCCGGGTCCGGCTCGGGTCGGACCGGCGGTTCTAACTCCTCCACGCGGCCCTGTTCGCGTCTCTTCCCTGCGTGGATCAACAGGAAACACGTAGCGGACCCACGATCCCGTCGGGTCCCTTCCGGACCTGGCAGCGCGCGCGGCTCAGCTCGGTTCGGCTCGGCTCTCTCCGTCCCGCTCCAGAAGGTTCAGAAGCCAAACAGGAAGCGGAGCGGTCCGGTTCTGGAGGAGAAACGTCACCTTAGAGTGGAAAGTCCCCGGAAATCAGAGCTGCTCTCCACGTCCCGTGAAAAGCCGCGACGCGGCGCGATGACTGCAGCTGGAGAGCAGAACCAGAACCGAGTCACCGAGAGGAGAGAGACTGAGAGAGGGAGGGGGCGGGGGGTCCGGGGTAAACATGACGATGAGGAGGAGGATGAAGCTGGAGCCTTTAACGCGTCAGCGCGCGCAGATTGGAGGAGAGAGAGAGGAACATCCCTGCTGCTCCACCAGGGGGCGCCGTTCTGCTTCAGTCTTTTCTTCATCCACTTTTCCAAGCAGAACTTCTTGCTGGTCATGATTCGTGGTTTGGTTGAGGGTCACGCGGGTCTCTAGAGGAAATGACGTTTAATAAGAAGCGAACCAAAATCCAATGACAACAAACGAGAAGCAGCAGGAAACATTAAACTCCAGGAACCAAATCAGTTCATGTCAAAGTGAGCTGAACAACAAGCAAGTTCATCAAGTTCATTTCCTGATCATCTAAATGTACTTTAGATCCGGTCCGGTCCGGTCCGGTCCACTTCAGGTGGCTGTTTTCACAAATCAAAGCTGACATCCTGCCTGATTGCATCTGATCATCGTCTCTAGGAGACGCAGAAGAAACAGCTGCTTCATCAGAGAAAGGCGCAGGAAGCAGAACTTTACATCTGGGTCGATTCTGGGACCATTACTGGAAACATTTGTGATAAATCTCAACATGCGTCTCATTAACTCTCCAGTTCTGTCTGAAACTAACCAGGAAGTCCAGGTTCAACCAACCAGCAGCTGGAGGCTTCCAGAACCGGTCCGGTCCGGTCCAGTCCGGGTCCTCCGCGCCGCGCCGCATTAATGCAGTGATTGGTGCAAAAACAGCCCAGAGGGGGGCAGAAACTGGACAGAACTTGTTGTCGTTTCTCCATCTTGAGAAAATCTCGATGGAAACGGCAAAATTTGAAACCAAAGTTTTTCTGCTGGTTTCAAATTATTTCAGTTTTTTCTAAAGAAGAGCCAACGAGGAGACGGAGGCGTGAGAGTCAGAACCGCAGCACAGGAACCACCTAATCATAGCTAGCAACCTCTGCTCCCTGTTAGTGACCTCTGCTTCCTGTTAGTGACCTCTGCTTCCTGTTAGCAACCTCTGCTTCCTGTTAATGACCTCTGCTTCCTGTTAGCAACCTCTGCTTTCTGTTAATGACCTCTGCTCCCTGTTAGTGACCTCTGCTTCCTGTTAGTGACCTCTGCTTCCTGTTAGCAACCTCTGCTTTCTGTTAATGACCTCTGCTCCCTGTTAGTGACCTCTGCTTCCTGTTAATGACCTCTGCTTCCTGTTAGCAACCTCTGCTTTCTGTTAATGACCTCTGCTCCCTGTTAGCAACCTCTGCTCCCTGTTAGTGACCTCTGCTTCCTGTTAGCAACCTCTGCTTCCTGTTAGCAACCTCTGCTTCCTGTTAGTGACCTCTCCTTCCTGTTAGCAACCTCTGCTCCCTGTTAGCAACCTCTGCTCCCTGTTAGTGACCTCTGCTTCCTGTTAGCAACCTCTGCTTTCTGTTAATGACCTCTGCTCCCTGTTAGTGACCTCTGCTTCCTGTTAGTGACCTCTGCTTCCTGTTAGCAACCTCTGCTCCCTGTTAGTGACCTCTGCTTCCTGTTAGCAACCTCTGCTTCCTGTTAGCAACCTCTGCTTCCTGTTAGTGACCTCTGCTTCCTGTTAGTGACCTCTGCTTCCTGTTAGTGACCTCTGCTTCCTGTTAGCAACCTCTGCTTCCTGTTAGCAACCTCTGCTTCCTGTTAGTGACCTCTGCTTCCTGTTAGTGACCTCTGCTTCCTGTTAGCGACCTCTGCTTCCTGTTAGTGACCTCTGCTTCCTGTTAGTGACCTCTGCTCCCTGTTAGTGACCTCTGCTTCCTGTTAGTGACCTCTGCTTCCTGTTAGTGACCTCTGCTTCCTGTTAGCGACCTCTGCTTCCTGTTAGTGACCTCTGCTTCCTGTTAGTGACCTCCGCTCCCTGTTAGTGACCTCTGCTTCCTGTTAGTGACCTCTGCTTCCTGTTAGTGACCTCTGCTTCCTGTTAGTGACCTCTGCTTCCTGTTAGCAACCTCTGCTTCCTGTTAGTGACCTCTGCTTCCTGTTAGCGACCTCTGCTTCCTGTTAGCGACCTCTGCTTCCTGTTAGCGACCTCTGCTTCCAGTTAGTGACCTCTGCTTCCTGTTAGTGACCTCTGCTTCCTGTTAGCGACCTCTGCTTCCTGTTAGCAACCTCTGCTTCTTGTTAATGACCTGCTTCCTGTTAGTGACCTCTGCTTCCTGTTAGTGACCTCTGCTTCCTGTTAGCGACCTCTGCTTCCTGTTAGTGACCTCTGCTTCCTGTTAGCAACCTCTGCTTCCTGTTAGTGACCTCTGCTTCCTGTTAGTGACCTCTGCTTCCTGTTAGCGACCTCTGCTTCCTGTTAGTGACCTCTGCTTTCTGTTAATGACCTCTGCTTCCTGTTAGCGACCTCTGCTTCCTGTTAGCGACCTCTGCTTCCTGTTAATGACCTCTGCTCCCTGTTAGTGACCTCTGCTTCCTGTTAGCGACCTCTGCTTCCTGTTAGCGACCTCTGCTTCCTGTTAATGACCTCTGCTCCTGTTAGTGACCTCTGCTTCCTGTTAGTGACCTCTGCTCCCTGTTAGCGATCTCTGCTTCCTGTTAGAGACCTCTGCTTCCTGTTAGCAACCTCTGCTTCCTGTTAGCGACCTCTGCTTCCTGTTAGCGACCTCTGCTTCCTGTTAGTGACCTCTGCTTCCTGTTAGTGAACTCTGCTCCCTGTTAGTGACTTCTGCTTCCTCTTAATGACCTCTGCTTCCTGTTAGCGACCTCTGCTTCCTGTTAGCGACCTCTGCTTCCTGTTAGTGACCTCTGCTTCCTGTTAGCAACCTCTGCTTCCTGTTAGTGACCTCTGCGTCCTGTTAGCAACCTCTGCTTCCTGTTAGTGACCTCTGCTTCCTGTTAGCGACCTCTGCTTCCTGTTAGCGACCTCTGCTTCCTGTTAGTGAACTCTGCTCCCTGTTAGTGACCTCTGTTTCCTGTTAATGACCTCTGCTTCCTGTTAGCGACCTCTGCTTCCTGTTAGCGACCTCTGCTTCCTGTTAGTGACCTCTGCTTCCTGTTAGCAACCTCTGCTTCCTGTTAGTGACCTCTGCTTCCTGTTAGCGACCTCTGCTTCCTGTTAGCAACCTCTGCTTCCTGTTAATGACTTCTGCTTCCTGTTAGTGACCTCTGCTTCCTGTTAGCGACCTCTGCTTCCTGTTAGCGACCTCTGCTTCCTGTTAGTGACATCTGCTTCCTGTTAGTGACCTCTGCTTCCTGTTAGCGACCTCTGCTTCCTGTTAGTGACCTCTGCTTCTTGTTAATGACCTCTGCTTCCTGTTAGTGACCTCTGCTTCCTGTTAGTGACCTCTGCTTCCTGTTAGTGACCTCTGCTTCCTGTTAGTGACCTCTGCTTCTGTTAGCAACCTCTGCTTCCTGTTAATGACCTCTGCTTCCTGTTAGCAACCTCTGCTTCCTGTTAGTGACCTCTGCTTCCTGATAGTGACCTCTGCTTCCTGTTAGCGACCTCTGCTTCCTGTTAGCGACCTCTGCTTCCTGTTAGCGACCTCTGCTTCCTGTTAGTGACCTCTGCTTCCTGTTAGTGAACTCTGCTCCCTGTTAGTGACCTCTGCTTCCTGTTAGTGACCTCTGCTTCCTGTTAGTGACCTCTGCTTCCTGTTAGCAACCTCTGCTTCCTGTTAATGACCTCTGCTTCCTGTTAGCAACCTCTGCTTCCTGTTAGTAACCTCTGCTTCCTGATATTGACCTCTGCTTCCTGTTAGCGACTTCTGCTTCCTGTTAGCGACCTCTGCTTCCTGTTAGTGACCTCTGCTTCCTGTTAGTGACCTCTGCTTCCTGTTAGTGAACTCTGCTCCCTGTTAGTGACCTCTGCTTCCTGTTAATGACCTCTGCTTCCTGTTAGTGACCTCTGCTTCCTGTTAGTGACCTCTGCTTCCTGTTAGCAACCTCTGCTTCCTGTTAGCGACCTCTGCTTCCTGTTAGCGACCTCTGCTTCCTGTTAGTGACCTCTGCTTCCTGTTAGCAACTTCTGCTTCCTGTTAATGACCTCTGCTTCCTGTTAGCAACCTCTGCTTCCTGTTAGTGACCTCTGCTTCCTGTTAGCGACCTCTGCTTCCTGTTAATGACCTCTGCTTCCTGTTAATGACCTCTGCTTCCTGTTAGCGACCTCTGCTTCCTGTTAGTGACCTCTGCTTCCTGTTAATGACCTCTGCTTTCTGTTAATGACCTCTGCTCCCTGTTAGTGACCTCTGCTCCCTGTTAGCGATCTCTGCTTCCTGTTAGTGACCTCTGCTTCCTGTTAGCAACCTCTGCTTCCTGTTAGCGACTTCTGCTTCCTGTTAGCGACCTCTGCTTCCTGTTAGTGACCTCTGCTTCCTGTTAGTGACCTCTGCTTCCTGTTAGTGAACTCTGCTCCTGTTAGTGACCTCTGCTTCCTGTTAATGACCTCTGCTTCCTGTTAGCGACCTCTGCTTCCTGTTAGTGACCTCTGCTCCCTGTTAGCGACCTCTGCTTCCTGTTAGCGACCTCTGCTTTCTGTTAGTGACCTCTGCTTCCTGTTAATGACCTCTGCTTCCTGTTAGTGACCTCTGTTTCTGTTAGCAACCTCTGCTTCCTGTTAGTGACCTCTGCTTCCTGTTAGCGACCTCTGCTTCCTGTTAGCGACCTCTGCTTCCTGTTAATGACTTCTGCTTCCTGTTAGTGACCTCTGCTTCCTGTTAGCGACCTCTGCTTCCTGTTAGTGACATCTGCTTCCTGTTAGCGACCTCTGCTTCCTGTTAGCGACCTCTGCTTCCTGTTAGTGACCTCTGCTTCTTGTTAGTGACCTCTGCTTCCTGTTAGTGACCTCTGCTCCTGTTAACGACCGCTGCTCCCTGTTAGCGACCTCTGCTTCCTGTTAGCGACCTCTGCTTCCTGTTAGTGACCTCTGCTTCCTGTTAGCAACCTCTGCTTCCTGTTGTTAGTGACCTCTGTTAGCAACCTCTGTTCCTGTAGTGACCTCTGCTTCCTGTTAGTGACTCTGCTCCTGTTACGACCTCTGCTTCCTGTTAGCGACCTCTGCTTCCTGTTAGCGACCTCTGCTTCTAGTTAGCGACCTCTGCTTCCTGTTAATGACCTCTGCTTCCTGTTAGCAACCTCTGCT